TATTGGAAAGCATTATGATACTTCTCATTTTGTGCCTTCGTATATTTTCAAATACTTGAAATGTTGTGAAGGGGTATAGAGTCAATTTATTATAGGCACTGCCGATGTGCATACATCTTTTTACTAGATTGTGAGGATGAGTAGTTTTCTAAAAAAACAATGCTGCTTGATTGGTTTGCTCTCTCAATAAGTGAAATTGGCTCAAGTATCTGGCATGTCTGAATGGTTGTTATCTGGTGTTAATCAGTCATTAGAGCAGTTTTCTTTGTATGCTGTTGCCAACTAAGCTGGGGTCATGTGCAAGAACAATTAATTCAATAGCTATTTATAGGTCCTAATCATCTACTGCCATTTAACAAATCTGTTTCTGGGGAGGCTATTTGTCATAGGAAATGAGGACAGTTTTGTAAACCTGTTTTCAGTAATTGAAGCTTGATTTAAGACAGATAAAACAATTTAAAAGTTCAAGGTTAACTATCTTGAATGTGTGTGTCTCTTGATGGAGATTTAGTGAAGACTGATAATTTGGTATTAGTTGAGTTTCATATGCATAGTGAGACTTTTCTGTACAAGTTTAACTAATCTGCTCAAGTTTGTCTTTTGCAGCTGTTATGCAGACAGACGGGTTTGAATACCTAAAAGAAAGTTGTCCGAGCGTGCTCACAGAATTGTTGGAGTATGTAGCTAGGATCAATGAGCATTCTGTCAGTGTGAACAAGCAATTGACTGATGGTATATTGGACGGGAGTGATGTCAATGGTCGGCGGGTGAAGCAGAGATTGTAGTAGATCTTGCAATTCAACCATCCTCTGTAGGTTAAAGAGAGTAGTTGAAATCAGTTTGCAGGGTTTAGAGAGACAATTTTCTGAATGCAGCTTCTAGATTGACAAAGTTGTAAATGTAGTGCCTTCCCTGTGTATGTGTCATGATCTTGTTACAATTCTGGAGTGTCGGTTTTCTCGAATATCAGAATCTTTAAACGCATTACGTTGTGAGTTTGTAGATGTATGGTTCTCTGTAATATTAGGCCATAAATTTAACAAGCTGTTGACTCTTTTAGACGTGGACAAGTATTTCTTTGGCATCAACGCAATACAGTGCAGACGGCTGCAGTTATTCCTAGTCGGCTGCGCTTTAAGCTTGGCTGTAGGTGTTCATGTATTCCTAGTCGGAATAATCAATCTCAACGTTATGTTGTTTAACCACTATTTCCTCTCGATGACAAGAGGGGGTGTGTTTTGAAACTGGAAATTTAAGTGAGCTTATTAAGAAGTTGCATGAATGAACTAGGAATCAAGGAACCTCGTGTGGTTGGCCTTTCTATAGCTTTTGTCCGCTTGATCTTAGTCGGGACTCGGGAGCCAAAACATTTGTCCTTCTATTGCTCGGTGGAAAACCATTTTACAGCAAAGGAAGAAGTAAAATGACTTTTTATTTTGGAGAAGTTACATTTACACACCTCTATCTTAAATTAATACCTTCAAGGCTTAATTGAGTGCATTGATGTCTTTTAGCATTAACACGTAATGCCGGGATTTGGGATTAGGGGGTGTAATTAAACATTCTCCTTTTAATACTATCTTTTCCCACTCAATTACAGTGGTATTCCGTGAACAACAATGTCACCATTTTGGGAATTCCCACTTTGATGCCCGTTTGAAGCTTAACAAGTAGAGGGTTGGGTTGGGTTGGGTAATAAGATATGATTGATTATAAATAGGAGATTCTAAATTCAAAACATCTTACTTATTAAAAAGAAAAAAAATATATATCACAATAATGGCTCGTGAGGATTTGATTTAGTATTAAACAAGATTTTCACTTTGTTTGCAATTTTGGACTATAATTTTCGAATAAAAATTTTTATTTTTATATTGAACACATTTTTCAATAATTTTTTATCTCATATAAATCAAATTGTTATAATATATTTTCTTATAAAAATTCAAAAGTCGCAATCCAAAAGAGACCAAAGGGAGGGGTTGAGTGGTTCGGGAAGGAGGGCGTGTAATTAGGGATGGCAACGGGGCGGGGTTGGGGCGGGGGACCCCTCCCCCATCCCCCGCCCCGCTACCTACAAACTCCCCCCCCTCTCGCCCCGTCCCCCGTCTCCCACTCCTCCCGCCCCGCCCCCGCCCCGCCCCGCTTCCCCCGCGGGGTTAATAAAATTTTTCCCGCTAGGTTAATAAAATTTTATTATAGTTAAATTTTAATAAATAATCAAGTACTAAAATATCAACACATCATCAAGTTATTATTCATTTTAATTTTACAATTGAAACTCATAAAAACAATCAAACAAAAATTATTTGAATACAATCCAACATGATGAAATAAATACAATTAAAATAGTTAAGTTTTCACTTTTGGTACAAATACAATCACTAATTCATTATTGTGTTTGTGCTTTTTTTTTGAGAAAAAGTGTTATTCTATTAAGTGTAATTATAAATTTAGTATAAATGTATTAGTAAATTTAGTATAACTAATTAATAAATTCTATTAGTAGACATCTCTAATTATTCGTATAATTGATAATATTAATTATATTACATACACTAATATACATTATATAATACATCTAACTAATAATATCATTATCATAAGTTTATAACTAATTAAATTACATATTATATATAATTATATATTTTTTTTTTGCGGGTGGCGGGGCGGGGATATACTCCCCCGCCCCCCCCCCGTTTCTAAACGGGGGGAAAAAATACCCCCCCGCCCCCGCCCCATCCCCCGCCCCAACCCCCGCCCCGAGAGCCCCCCGCGGGGCGGTTGCCCGCGGGCATCCGCCCCCATTGCCATCCCTACGTGTAATTGAGAAGTCTGGATCCTTCCACTTACAATTAAATAGAGAGAGAGAGAGATATTGAATAGGGAAGAGACCCGTCATTTGGCAAATTATGAGAGATAAAAAAAAAAAGGAGAAAGTACCATTGAGATCTTGTTTTGGAGTGTGGTGTTTTTGTTAAAAAAAAAGAAAAAAAAAAGCACCTTTGACAGCACTTTTAGGTCGGTACGAGTTGTGATACTTTTAATAGAAAGTAATTTTCGATGCTAAAAGTATTTTTGAGTTATTTGGTAAACATCATTTCATAAACAATTTGGTGCTTTTAGAGTAGTTTTTTGTGCTTAAAAATATATATTAAATTTATTATTTCATCCTATATTATGAACTAAATAAAGAGATAAATAAACTTAAAAATTTTAAAAATAGCACATTATCTAATACGATAAGTACTCACTAAACTATGTACCCAAACAATATATTTAAAGTACTTAAAAACTCAATAAGTGCTTATATTAAAAGTTCTATCAGATGAACTACTTTTCAATAAGTTATCTCAATTTCAAATGAGCCTTTAAAAGCTTTATCGGGAAAATATTTTTCAATAAAATACTGCAATTCCAAACAGGCCCTTAGCTGAAATTTAAATTTAGTACTTTTAGAATTATTTTTGTATTTGAAAAAAATAAAACTTTAAATTTAATCATTTCATCCCAAATTTAATAAAGATATAAATATATTTTAAAAATTTTAAATTACGCATTCTCCGATACAAAAAGTATTTATCAAAGTATGTATCCAACAAACGTACATATTTAAGGGGGGAATTCTGACAAAAAAAGACAAAGACGTAAGTCGGGGGGGAATTCTGGGGTAAGTGGGTCTTAGTTAAGGTCTAGTAGAAGTTTCCCTTCCTACCTTCCCGTTGTCCCACATCGATTCTAAGGGGTTTGAGGGTTGGGTAGTTAAGTCCCCAAGGTTGCCTCAAGAGTTGCCGGCTTTTGAGGTGGACTTTGGGATTAGGTTTAATTGTTTTACTTGAAAAAGTCTGACAAAAAAAAACAAACGTACATATTTAGAAGTGGAAATGCATTAGGGTACATACTATCGACTCAGTTGTCTGTCTGGTGTCTTCAATTAGCAAATCCTGTGAGGTTAGCCCTTGACTAAAAAGTGGATTCAACTCTTTATTATATTTAATTTTTGTTGAGCTCCACTGTAATTTCTCATAATTACATAAACCTCCCTAGAAATCTTCAAAAAACCTCTTTTTTTTTTAAAAAAAATTTGACACGATAATTTTCATGCAATTCTTGCTCCACCTCTACACAAAGGGGAAGGGTAGACGCAAAAGGGTCAATGAAGGACCGAGAGGAGAATAAATCGCCTACGGATTAGTTTGTTTGGATAAGAGTTTATTTGGATGATTTATTTGAGATATTTACTGTAGCACTTTTTGTGATGTGATGTATGTGAGATAAAAAGATGGTTGGGAAGATAAAAAGGTGATTGGGATTTGTGAGGCAAAATTTTTTTTTCCAAAATCTCTTTGTCCAAACAAACTCGGGGTTTTGAACAAAATTTAGAAAATTTTGAATTTGAAATACAAATCGGGGTTTTGAAATCCCCCGTTCTATGCCCCAAGAGTAATAGCCAATAGGCCCAAGGACTTAAAATCCCTCATGGTGGCCAACCCAGTCCGCCCCACAATAACCTGCCTAGAGAAAAATCGTAGTACTAAACCAGTAGTCTCCCCTTTCCTTCCCCGAGACCCTTTCCTGAGAGTTGCTTTGCTGCTCAGCTTTCCTTGTTCAGCTTCAAATCTTCCTGTCTCAAGAGTTCGTCCCGGCCGGAGCACAGATAAACCAAAAGAATCAGAATGGTGATACTATTCTATTTCCAATACATACTGTTCTTTGAGGCTATCTCTCTTTTAAATTTCGTTTTCAAATTTTTGATGCTTCAATAAGAATTTTAATGCTTTCCTCAAGGACTGTCTTTTTCAATTGTTGTGACGTGGATTCGTGTTTTCTTGCAGTTGTTTTTCTCCTATTTCAAGGATTTGGTAGGCAGAGAAGTCACTGTGGAACTAAAGAATGATTTAGCAATTCGAGGGACCCTCCATTCGGTCGATCAGTACCTCAATATCAAGCTTGAAAATACTAGGGTTGTTGATCAAGAAAACTATCCCCACATGGTACAGGCGTTTCTACTCTTTTCTTCTAGGGTTATGTTTCTGTTGTGGGTTTTAGGGCTTTTGATAATTTCGAGTGAAAATTATTCAATTTCTCGTTTGATTTTGATGTTGTGCTAAGAAATTTTCTGTTCAATGCGTGATTTGTATCTCTCTTTGATCATCTTTTGCTTTGTTAAAAGTGTTACGAAAGTGTATGAATCTAACATGTGATTTTGGAATCTTAACAAGGAATCAACATGAGAAGGATGTGGTGCCATGGTTTTCTTGAATGACTTTATAGTTTAAGTAATTTTTGAGTGTGTTGTAGTCTTTAAGGTTTTCGGTTTTCTTGTTGTGACTCTGGGTTTTGTAAATGTATTGTTCTTTTCAAGTGCTTCTTGTACTCGTTACTTTCCTGAGGAACCTGATTTTTCATACAAGATGCATAAAAACTTTACAAACATGTAGTGTGTTTTTCAAAGACCAAAATATATTACAACTATTGGTCCTTTCTTGTACATCAATCTGTGAGCTTATGAATAATTTTTGAAAATTGACTAACTTTTGTGATTGGTTTTGATTTTCTGGTAAAGGTAAATTTCATGATCTATTGTTCTTCATTTCAAGTGTATTGACAAAGGTATAATGGAAGCTGAATGATATTTTGCCTTTTTGTGCTTCTCTAATCCAAGGAGTAATATATAGTTGAAAATGTTAGAGGTTTCATGGATGAAAAGGTCGAATAATTTTCTAACAAAACTTTGCAGTTCTAGTTAGAAGGTTTATCGAATACTATGTGCTATAGCAATGTTAGATGCACATCTTTTCTGATTGAAGAATAAAAAAGATCACGGTTTTAAGGAATGCTGCAACAAGGGGGTGGGTTGGGGAGGCCTTATCAGTTGTGTCTAAAAGTTTTCAGTCAGAACTCTCAAACGTTTTTTAGTCCACTGTTGGAACTAACGGTCTAGGTGTTTGTGGCTGTTTCCCGTGTCTGATTTGGTTCTTCTATTGTTATAGGAGATTCACTATTCTTCTCTGCCACCATGTATGAGAAGTTAGTCTGTGGATGGGTCTGAACAAATTATTGTCATCTCATTATATTGTTTATGTCTCTGCTTCTACTGGGCTGTATTTGGCAATCTATTCTTGTCAGGACAAATACGGAATTAAACCTACTGGAAGTACAGAGCTGGCTATTGCCCCTTGTGTTAATGTAATGACTAGTAAGTCTGTCCTGAATGAAAAGTTTAGATTTCATCTCATATTGTTATAAGATGATTATAGTCACTGACTTATGAAGATAATTTAGAATGAAAAAATGGTAAGCGTGGCTCCTATTGGGAATTGGAAGCAGTGGACCTCGTGGTTCCAACAAGGCATCTGGTACGTCCACGATTGGCGGCCTTTAGCATGTTGGATATGATGAACCTTTAGTGGCATTATGATACTCTTCTTCTTGGTTTGGCAGCATCCAGGACAGGGCATACTTGTGTTCGTGTCAGAATTTTTTTTGAGATGCACCCATAGCTGTTATTGATTTAAACTTATTTAGTGTTTTTTTTGGAACTGTTAATCCTTTCCCTCTATCCAATCAAGTTCTCAATTTTAACACGTTCAGATCAGTTTAGATATCATGCCCCTTCCTAGGCCATATTCCTCGCGTTCTCATCTTACATCTGGATTGTTCTTAAATTTTGCTTGACATAATGTTGGAATTATCCATTCATCTGGTCATTCAATTGCAGCTTTCGGTGAGGAACTGCTTCATTAGAGGGTCAGTGGTGAGATACGTCCAGTTACCACCAGAGGGAGTTGACATCGAACTGCTTCATGATGCAACTAGAAGGGAAGCTCGTGGTGGCTAAAGATCTAGCAATGACATTATTGTGCATGAGCCTTGGATTGAGATATTTGACGTATCAGTTTTATGGCTTATATTTGTATTAGCAAACTTCTCAATTGTTTACTTTGTAGAATGTGGTTGGTCAGAAATGTTTTGGAGTTCACCGTACGGGATATTTTTAAGATGGCCTTGACATCGTTTATATTTGATAAGTTGTTTCTTGGACGGTGCTAGCTTTTGTACTTGGAAGCCGCCTCACCTCCGGGCACCCTGGTGGCTAAGCAGTTTCTTCTGGCGGGCTTGTGAGCAGAGCCATAAATATTTTGTACAGGTGGAGAATAGACGTTCAATGACCGCAAATCCTTAGAAACAGAATACTTTTAATTTGAAAGACTAGGAATTGCTGCAAGAGAATGGGAAAAGAAATAATCACATGGAGTTGTAATGTGCCTAGTGTGCCTGTTTAAAAGGGGCAAAAAAAGAGCGAATTTTAGGCTCCAAAAATGAAGCAGAGAATTTATATTTACATTTTAATAAAAGTAAATCGAGAAAAATTATCTGTAACTGAGATTTAGCCCAATGGACTCGCGGTTACATATAAAGTTTCATATAAGCGCGTTGAAAACGAAAAAAGCGCCAATAAATCCAGTCGCTGAATATTCTGGATTGGTCCCAAGATTTTTACAACTCAGAACGGGGCCTGCAAGTCCAGTCCCAGCATTCTTGAATTCATCCAAAAATTTTAGTTATTTGCCACCCAAAAAAAAAAAAAAAAGGAGGAGTTTTCTTTGAACTGAGATGATAATTGGAATTACTTGTTCAAAAGGGACTTCCCGGTGCCCATGTTGACGGTATCACTGTGATTTTCTTTCCTTCCCTCGTCAATCCAATATACGTACTAATATTATCATAACTTTTTTTTTTAAACCAGAAATTAATAAATTTCCTTTCTTTGCGTAATTTAGGGAGGATAACAGGCCTTTGTGTCCATTTTCTCTAATCGAAATCTAAAGATCTCTCATGGATACTCTAATTACGTGGCTCAAAGGAGATAGAGACAAATAACTTAATTGAGGTAGGCAGATTCTTTGTCGGTCAAATAATCATGCATGTCTTAACTGGTTCCTCAAAATCTGTTTTCTGATCTTTTTTGGACATTTTTAGGTTCTTTCCCCGTAGAGAAACTTGTAAGATTTTCCCCTTTTTTCTTTTTTAAAACTAAAATGTTAAGCATATGTAAATTTTGCATTTATATATCCCATCAATGCTATAGATTCGCTGCCTCTGCATTTTCTTCCATCCTCAAAAACTCGTCGCAACCTTTTTGTCATCGCTCTCTCCTATTCCCCTCCAGAGTTTTTGGAACAGATTTTAATAACTCTCCGCTTGTCTGAAGCGAAGAAGATCACCAAGAATTAAATTAGTCTCTTCTGTTAATTCAAGTCTTTGACGATGGATCAAACTCACGTTCTTTATCCGGTACTCAGATCACTTTAATTTAATTTAGCACATTTTAGCATGTTACATTTCTTCTTTCTTTTTGGACGCTTTAGTATAAATAAATAATAACTAGCACTTTTATTTTAACCCACAGATCATTGTTCTTAGAGTGAACATAAATTGCTGCAAGGACTGCCCTGAGACGCTCAAGAAAGCATTATGGAGTATCAATGGTCATAGTAGTTCTTCTACGTTGTTCGCTACAATACCTTTATGTTTTGTATCTTTTAAGATTGTTTTCCAATTTCCCAATCCGAATTCAATGTTTTTATATATATATATATATATATATATATATGGCTACCTTAACTAATTATGCTTGTGTTCGAGATCTGAAAATTCGGCTGTGTAATGCTATCCAGGAGTCTATTCGGTTGCAGTGGATCCAGAAAAGAAGTTGGTGTATGTTGCAGGCAAAGTAGACCCAAAGTTACTGCTAGATTCCATTGCAAAAATGGGGAAAAGTGCGGAAATTTTGTCCTGCGAAGAAGGGGCCAACAAAGACAAGAGACAAGCTTATGATGACCACTTCTTCAACCGTGGACAAAACTATCACGGGAAGGAAGACTACAACTTCCGACGAACTGGGATGGAGCAGAAGCAATCTGGCTGTCGCCAGAATTGCAGTAGTAAGAAAGAAGGAGATGATGTTGACCTTGGTCGATCAATCCTTGGTTTTGATGATTAACAAACCAAAATGTAGATTTGGGCTTATGTTTTTATGTGAGCAATTTGTTAGAAGAAGCAAAAACAGGGCACTCATGTGGGACGTCCGAAAGGAAGCTATCGGACGTCCGAAAGGATGAAGAACATCAAGAAGGAAACTCTGTCGGACGCTCGTGAGGAAGCATCGGACGTCCGGAAGGATCGGACGCACGCATCGGACGCACATCGATCGCATCGGACGTCCGAGAAATTTCGCAAAGATTTGATGACTCTCTGACGACGTTCGGACGCATGGTTCGGACGTCCGACAGGTGGTTTGGACGCAGGGTTCGAACGTTCGACAGGTGGTTCGGACGTCCGACAGGCCAATGGCTAGTTTTGACAGCATTTAATATTTGACCGTTGGAGAGCCTTTTGGAGCCATTTCTCACCTTCTATAAACACCCCAAAGCACAAGAAGACACAAGACTTTTGCCAACACAAAATACAAGCTTACAAGTGAGATTTTTGAATAGAAAGATTCTTTGTTGGTTGTATAAGGGGTTGGGAAAGTTGGGTTGTGAGATTGCTGAAGTGAAGGTTACTCTCTAGGAGGAGTAAAACCTTGGTGAAGGTGAACCTATCACTTGAAGTGGTAAAACCTTGGTGAAGGTTGCCTCATTTGTATAAAATAGTTCTTATTTGGGTGAGTGATCTTTCAAGTGTAGGTTGTTGAGGGTTAACTTGAATAGTTGTAAAACTCCTTGACTCAACCAAAGTGTGTTTGGGGTGAGGAAGGAGTGAGCCTTCACTTGTACATCTTGGTTAGCATCGCCATCTATTGAAGAGGCTATTGGATTGATATTTGGCCGTGAGGAAGGAGTGAGCCTTCACTTGTACATCTTGGTTAGCATCGCCATCTATTGAAGAGGCTATTGGATTGATATTTGGCCGTGAGGAAGGAGTGAGCCTTCACTTGTACATCTTGGTTAGCATCGCCATCTATTGAAGAGGCTATTGGATTGATATTTGGTTTGCATTTCTTATCTTTTCTCTTTAATTAACTTTTCTTTATTGTGCTTAAATTTGATATATCTTTGTGCATCATTGTGAAATTGTTTGTACTCATTGGGTTGCACCAGGCCTTACAGATGATGACCACGAATTTGAAGATTATGTACCGCCCAAATTTGATCCACAACCATGCAGGGATCCTTTCTGCAAACTTCACAACAGAATACCCATTTTTCATGAGAAGGTACCTGCGTGGAACAGTGCCGATCATCCCCACCACTCTGCCCGATTTTTCCACGGAGGAAGTCCCATGTTTTACCATGGGAGTCACCTTGATGACCACTATTCTCATCCCAGAATGTCACAACCCGGTTATGGTTTCTTTGGAGCTTCTGGATATGGTTCCTATGGAGATGATAGTGGTTGCACAATTATGTAGATAGGCTCTTTCTATCGCTAACTCCAGATTTTCTCCTTTTTTTGTGATTTGGAGTTATTGGCAAATAACAGGAACGTGCGCTAGATCTTTGCCTCTCCTAGAGAGCCCTAATGTCATCTCTAACTACAAAACCTGTTTTATGCACATTTTTCTTTGTATATACTTCGCTTGTATACCTTTTTATTTGGTGTTCTTTTTTTTTTTTTTTCCGGCAAGATAACAATTGTATAACCTATTCTGTCTTAATCTATAGAGGAAGAGAAGCCTAAGGAGGCTTGTATGTAGAAGCTAGTAGGTATGTAGACCTGATTAGAACAAGAGGATGCTATAGCATCACCTTTGAATTTTTTTTTGCTGCAGGTGTGGTTTTGAACTCCTACCTATAGTCTAAGGAGGAATTTATTTGGTGTTCACTTTCAACTAAGTTTGTTCAAGCCTGTGTTTCAATCATATGCAACTACTAGTTTGAGAAACATGGCATGTCTTGAAACAAACAACACACGTACCATGGCATGTCTAGGACTTTGAGAATGTTCTTTGTTCCTTAATTCATACTAGCACAGCTTATAAGTTAAAGCTAATACTGCTAGTTTTTGGTTCCTTATTTAAATTCCCACCAGATGCTGCATGATGCCTTGACGTACTTCACCAACCAATTCAGCATGTCTTGATGGGCCTCTTCTGCACTTTTCACAGCCTTCTCATCTTCATCATCATACCCGACGGTCCACCCGTGGGAAACACCAGGAAATATTTTGACAAGCTATCAACCTAAAATCAGTTTTTGCCATCAACACCAACCCACCCCCCCCCCCCCCCCCCCCAAAAAAAAAAAACAACAATCATTGACAAGTTTTATGTCCTGTGTGTGTGTATGTGTGTGTATATATATATAGAGAGAGAGAGAGAGAGAGAGTATATTTCTACTGAGATAATTAACATTCTTCAAACTAAAAACTCTGCATTATTATCTTTCTGATTAGAAACTATCACACGTACTAGGGAAGGTACCTATTAAAAAAATTGGGAGATCTCGATACGCAAAAAATCAATTATGGATACAACCTCCTCATTGGCTCCCGGACTAGCATTTCCTTGAATCTTTTCATAATCACCGACCATTGCATCTAAGGGAAGTTCGCGGACAAAAAATATATTCATTTGGAGTAGA